AACACACGATTACAGGTGACCCCGGCTGGAGCCTGGAACACATGATCATAGGTGACCTCGGCTGGAGTCTGGAACACACGATTACAGGTGACCCCGGCTGGAGTCTAGAACACGCGATTACAGGTGACCCCCGGGTGAAGCCTAGAACACGCAATTACAGGTGACCCTGGCTGGAGTCTAGAACATGCGATTACAGGTGACCCCCCGGGTGGAGCCTAGAACACGCGATTACAGGTGACCCCGGCTGGAGCCTAGAACATGCGATTACAAGTGACCCCAGCTGGAGCCTAGAACACATGATTACAGGTTACAGGTGACCCCGGCTGGAGCCTGGAACACGCCATTACAGGTGACCCCGGCTGGAGCCTGGAACACACCATTACAGGTGACCCCGGCTGGAGCCTGGAAGACATGATCATAGGTGACCCCTGCTGGAGCCTAGAACACGCGATTACAGGTGACCCCCCTGGAGCCTGGAACACGCGATTACAGGTGACCCAGGCTGGAGCCTAGAACACGCGATTACAGGTGACCCTGGCTGGAGCCTGGAACACACGATTACAGGTGACTCCGGCTGGAGTCTGGAACACGCGATTACAGGTGACCCCGGCTGGAGTCTGGAACACACGATTACAGGTGACCCCGGCTGGAGCCTGGAACACATGATCATAGGTGACCCCGGCTGGAGTCTGGAACACACGATTACAGGTGACCCCAGCTGGAGTCTAGAACACGCGATTACAGGTGACCCCCGGGTGAAGCCTAGAACACGCAATTACAGGTGACCCTGGCTGGAGTCTAGAACACGCGATTACAGGTGACCCCCCGGGTGGAGCCTAGAACACGTGATTACAGGTGACCCCGGCTGGAGCCTAGAACATGCGATTACAAGTGACCCCAGCTGGAGCCTAGAACACATGATTACAGGTTACAGGTGACCCCGGCTGGAGCCTGGAACACGCCATTACAGGTGACCCCGGCTGGAGCCTGGAACACACGATTACAGGTGACCCTGGCTGGAGTGTAGAACACGCGATTAGAGGGGACCCCCGGGTGGAGCCTAGAACACACGATTACAGGTTACAGGTGACCCCAGCTGGAGCCTAGAATACGTGATTACAGGTGACCCCGGCTGGAACCTAGAACACGCGGTTAGAGGGGACCCCGGCTGGAGCCTAGAACACGCGATTACAGGTGACCCCTGCTGGAGCCTAGAAGATGCAATTACAGGTGACCCCCGGGTGGAGCCTAGAACACGCGATTACAGGTGACCCCTGCTGGAGCCTAGAACATGCGATTACAGGTGACCCCGGCTGGAGTTTAGAACGTGATTACAGGTGACCTCGGCTGGAGTCTAGAACACACGATTACAAATACTTTTGAAACGGAAAAGTCTCACCGAAGAAATATAAGCTCTAACAAATGGAAATTATAGAACTGAAAAAAGAACCAAAATAAAAAATTCACTCTGGGTTCGATCACAGAAAACCCAAGTATGACAGAGGAGAGAATCCATGAACTTGAAGATAGGACCAAAATTATCCAATATGAACAAAAAAGAGACATCGGGAAAAAAAATGAGTGGAGCCTCAGGGACCTGTGGGACAATATCTGTTTCACTGGATTCCTGGAAAGAGAGGAGAAGGAAAACGGGTTTGAAAAAGTATTCAAAGAAATAATGGCTGAAAACCCAACAATTTTGGCAAAAGAAAGACATAAACCTACAAGTTCCAGAAACCAAGGGAGTCCCAAAGAGGAGAAACCCCAAAAATCGTCACCAAGAAGTATCATAATTAAATTTCTGAAAATTAAGCAGGAAGAAAAAAAAAATGTTGAAAGTAACCAGAGACAAAAAAAACAGAGGGGAAACACCAGTTCGAGTGACAGCAGATTTCCCCTCACAAACCAGGGAGGCCAGCAGGATGCACCCTGACATCTTCCATGCACTGAAAGAGCAGAACCGTCCGTGTGAATCCTAGTTCAGTGAAATATCCTGCAGACCTGCCCCAAGGAATCTTATCTTAACAGAAAGGAAATGATAAGAGAAGGCTTGAAACTTCAGAAAGGAAAGATCATTTTCGGAACAGGTAAAACCGGGGATGAAGTATAATAGACAGCCCTCTTGGAAAGAATCACATTCTTAAATCACATTTGATGGTTGAGGCAAAATTTCTAGCACCATCTGGTATGGGTGCTCAAGGGAAATACAAGACATACCGGAGACAGTTGTAGTTTCCAGATGGGGAGGATAAGATGGCCTTCGTGGAAGCAAGGTTTCCAGCCTGCATGTGAAGTGGTTAAAAGTCAAGGCGGGCACGGCGTCTCACTCCTGTAATAGTGTTTTGGGAGGCCCAGCTGGGCAGATCACGAGGTCAGGAGTTCAAGACCATCCTGGCCAACATGGTGTAACTCCGTCTCTACTAAAAATATAAAAATTAGCTGGGCATGGTGGCCCCTGCCCGTAGTCCCAGCTACTTGGGAGCCTGAGGCAGGAGAATCGCTTGAACCAGGAGTCGGAGGTTGCAGTGAGCCGAGTTCACGCCACTGCACTCCCGCCTGGCGACAGAGCAAGATTCCATCTCAAAAAAAAAAAAAAAAAAGTAGAGAACTGTCGGCAGCAGCCTGGGCACTGGGAAGCTCACACACTGTCCAGGTGACTCCAGGGGACAGGCAGGTGAAGGCCCTCAGGCTTAAGAGGGGTGCAGGATACCTGCCGAGGGTGCTCTCTGCTCTCGAGGCCGTAGGGCAGTGTACATCAGGATGGCCTGGAGGCCTTGTGAAAACACAGATCCCCGGACCTCAGCCCCAGAATTCTGACATGGAGGTCGGGGGTGATGTCCAATCATTTGCATTCCTGACAAGCTTCAGGGCTGGGACTGGTAGCTGGGGATGCCAATTTGAGAACCACCACCTAGCACTGCTGCTGCTAAGGAGCTCCTGCTGCCGCTGGAAGGGCCCTCGGGACCCCAGAGCATGCCTGACTGGGCATGAAGGAGGCAGCAGGTGTCTCCTGAGGAATCCAGGATTGCAAGGCAGGAGGCCTCATCCGGTGTCCCGGGACTGCCACTACCCGGCTGGGTGACCTCAGGCAGGTTCCTGCATGTCTCTGGGCCCCGACTCCCCTTCTGTGACATGAGAGGAGCTGGCTAGGCCATTCACCTGGGGGTGCGTTGGAGGGGCTGGGAGGGAGAGGAATAGCCCCAAGTGTCTGCCCCCACCCCTCTCCCCACCTCTGTTTTCCCAGCTCCTCATTTGTCTATTTTGCATGTTGGGGTTCACGTACGAGCTCTCATGTCAAGGCAGTCCCTCTGCTAAGAGAAGTTTGAAGACCTTGGTCTTGATGTTTAAAAGGCCTTCCTGACCCACATATAGAACCTTTCCACTGGCAAACAAGTCCCCAGCTGAGGCTCCTCCCACAGGTCTCTCTGTGTCCCCATGTGACCTTCATGGAATTTCTTCTCTGTCCTTATTGAGTCTGTGAGGAACTCCCAGATGAAAGGCCCCCGGAGAAGCATCCTTTGCTCAGAAGCAAGGTCCCTGGAGTGGGCGGGCGGGCAGTTCTGTGCACAGAACCCGCCTTGCCCCTGGAGGCACGGTCCTTCCTATAGACATGTGGCCTCGTGAGCACTGAAGCATGTGACCCACCTTCCCCTCAGAGGCGTCATGGGTAGTCTGCCAGCTCCCAGGAGTGAGTGTGGGCATCTGGCCCTGTACCTGGCTGGCCTGTGCCCCTGGGACCCAGTACTGGGGCAGACACCCCCAGATGAGGCAGGTGTGGCCCATGCTCTTTAAGGCTCCACAGCCTAGTAGAAGGACAGACAGTTTAGGGACCCAGGACAGGTCTTTCGAGGATGCTTCCCGGAGTGTGAAGGGCCCTGCCCTCCAGGGTGCAGGTTGTGGCCGGTCTTTTCCAGAATATAATCACACCACCTCTGAGACAGGCAGGCGCTCACTTCCTCCCGCCTCTTCCATCACATGGTGTTGAAGAGGTTAACTGGGAGGTCTCAAAGTCCCAGCAAACTCCCAGGCCCACCCGGGCCCACCAGGGACAGGAGTGATGGAGGGAGCTGGGTGGGGGCTGGGAAAGGCCGGCCCCTCCTGACAGCCCGGGGAGCCTGCCCCACGGGGAGCTGGGAGTTCATTGTCTCAGACTAGCCTTTTATTATTTCATGAGAAGCTAGAAATTTGGATGTTAAAATGAAATCCCCCAATTGCAAGCAACCCAGGATTTTCTTTCTTTATTTACTAATTTATTTTAGAGACAGGCTCTCCCTCTGTCTCCCAGGCTAGAGAGCAGTGGTGTGAGCATAGCTCACTGCAGCCTTGACCTCCTGGGCTCAAGGGATCCTCCCACCTCAGCCTCCCAAATAGCTGGGACCACAGGCATGCCTCACCCCACCCGGCTAATTGCTTTTTGTGGAGTGGTCTTGCTACGTTGCCCAGGCTGGTCTTGAACTCCTGGCCTCAGGTGATTTTCCCACCTTGGCCTCCCAAAGCTCTAGGTTTCAGGCATGAGCCAACATGCCCAGCCAAGAAGTTGACTGAAATGAAATTCCCTCCAGCCCCCGTGTGCTTGTGGTGGACCTGCATTTACCGCCTCTGGCACAGGATGGCACAGCCCTGCTGTTCCTCCAGGGGTCCAGAGACTGCGCCCCTTCCTGACTCTGCCCAAGTCCTATCTGTAAAGTGAGGGGCTTGGCCCAGGTGCCAGGTGATGCCCAGGCCCAAGCCTGTCCCTGAACACAGGAACCAGCTGGGCTGACGGTCTGTGGTGTTTCTGGTGTCATGGGCAAGCTTGGGACATGACCCCTCTGCAGCTCCTCCTTGGTCAGTGCCCTGGGGACAGAAGGTCACCACTGAGGTAGGGCATGGTCCTCAGGGGGTCTTCCCTGTGTCACTGGCTCAGCCTTGCCCACCCCGGTGGGAAGCCCCCCAGGGCTGCACCCCCCTCGCTGCACCGAGTCTGCGCGTGTGACGAAGCTGTGCTGTGTCTGTTTCAGGATTCCCCTATTCCAAATCTGACCCTCTCCCAGGACGTGGAAAGAATGGCTTGGACCACCGGGTAGGTATTGACCCCTCCCCGGCCACGGGGTACTAACGATCACTGTGAGGCTGAGCACGCTTCCCACAGCTTCTTGACCACGCAGCAGGAGGAGAGGCCCCGGGGACCCTGCGCCCACCTGCCTCTGCCTGATGCCCCGCCCAGGGGCTGCTGCTGCCGCCACCGCTTTTTCCCTACTAGGACTGGACCAGACCTGGGCAACACCCTCCCCACCCAACCTCCCTGCCCTGGCCTCAGGGAAACCTCAGTGCATGGGAGCAGGGGAGACGAGGGCCACCCAGAGTGATCAGGCCAGCTCCAGGAAGCCCCTCCTCATCCTCTTCCTCCTCCTGTGACACAGAGCCTGCTAACATTCAAGGGCTGTTGCATTTGGTGAGCCAGTGTGAGCCAAGTGCCCACCTCCTTGTCTGGGATGCCCTGACCTTCACTGCTGTTAACATTACCGTGATTACCCCAAGTAATCCTTAGCTGTTACTTGAGACTGCACGGAGATTGGATAAACTCACAGTCAGGTGCTTTGGCTGCCCCCAGCTGAAGGCTGGTGCCGTCTCCTGCCCTGAGCAGAAGGCTGGTGCCGTCTCCTGCCCTGAGCTGAAGGCTGGTGCCATCTCCTGCCCTGAGCTGAAGGCTGGTGCCCTCCTGCCCTGAGTTTTCTGACTCTTGGGGCATCTGAATATAATTCCAGACAATCTGGGGGCTGGCTGCCTTGCAGAGGGGCCATGCCCGTTGCTCCAGGGCAGTTAATGCCTTAGGAAGGGTTGGTCGTGTTTGTTCCTCTGCCCACAGTGTCACGAGGTCCCCAGTGAGGATCCCTAGGGTGGGGCAGGCTTGCTGGTCACAGACCCCCGACACATACACACACACGCACACACACACACACACACACACACGCACACAGAGCGAGCCCAGGGGTCTCCCCATTGACCAAGGCAGCCTCATCCTAGTCTGGAAATTATTCCATACACAAAGGCAATTCACCTCTCAACAGAGGCCACTAAGAAGCTGACCCCCATCTTTGTTGAACCGGAGCAGCCTGAGCTGTGTGTGGCCCCAGAATGGCATCCCCCAGCCAGGTTCTCTCCCCGGGGTCGAGGCAACAGGACACCATCTCCGGAAGCCGTGGGTGTCCTCGGGGGCTGACGTGTCCTCTGCTGTCTTTCAGGCTTTGTCAGACCCCCTGCTGTGTTCTTGTCCAAGGCCCGGCCTCCCTGGATCTCCCCCAGCCCGGGCACCTCTGCATGGTTTGATTCTAGCGAACCCCACCCCCACCCCACGATCCGCTCTTCCTGTTCTGGAATGGGCCAAATTGGGGACCATGCATGTGGCATGCTTCTTTGAATTTTCTCCAGAGGAATTCTCCACTGTTCATCTTCCACATGGAAAGCAGGGGGGATAAGAGAGTTGGACCAGTGTCCACAGGACTCCTGCCCACCAAGATGGGCAATCCCTGAGCTCAGTGTGAGGGGTCCTGTGGGCGTGGGAAACCTGTCTAGATGTTCTCTTGCTTGGAACAGCTGTTCTCCGACCCTGGGGCTGGTGAGTGCAGTGTTCACAGTCCAGACCAAGCCGGGTGTTCCACAACCCGCGTGAGGTCCTGGAGACTTTCCTCCATATACAGAAGAAAAGCAAGAGAGCAGCGTGCCCTGCATATGTGTCTCGCGTCATTGGCGCCTGGACTGTGCGTCCTCTGGGAAGATTCTTCTCTAGGCTCACGTGCTAAAATGATACGAATTGATGCCTCTCAGCATCTGCAGAGAAGGTCGTGGTCTCCAAATGCCACACCGCCTGAAAGAGTTTGAGAACAGCTGATGCAGACATTCTGGCAGGGATGGGCTTCACTCCCTCTCCTAGAACTATTGAGAGCAGAACCTCCAGCCTTATAGAATTAAGAACTAACCCTTCTGTGAATGTGTTTCTCCTGCAGACTAAGGGGTGGAAAGGAGGGCGCTGGCCTGTGTGCTCTCTGCATACGCTTGGAGAGCTGATACACAGAATTCCTCATCATGCGGCGATCCTTAGCTTTTCCCATTACTTATGGGGGAGATGGGCGAATATTATTAATGACTTTGCTTTGGGATTCTCTTTTCCCTGCTAATGTTCTTTCCTATTTTTTCACTCTAAGACCTTTATGTGGTTTTATGCCTGTTTCTCAGTGAGAAGGCCAGATACTTGATCTTTCACCTTTTGCAGGTGGACTGCTCAGCACCTGGACTCGTGCACTTCCCCTGGAGACCCCTGTGAGTGCGCGTCTGTGCCTTATTGCTGATGCCCTACAGTGCTCCTAAGTCATTAGCTGGGTAGTTTCTTGGTTTGCCTTTACTTCCAGAAAGGATTCTGGGCAGCCTGAAGCACAGAGGCAGTGAGACCAAAATCTCATTAACACCAATCACTAAGGAGAGGAGGAAACTACAGGAGAAAATCACATCAAAAACAAACAAACGTTTATGACATGAGAGCCAGGGTGTGGTGGCTCACGCCTGTAACCCCAGCACTTTGGGAGGCCAAGGAGGGCAGATCACTTGAGGTCAGGAGTTCCAGACCAGCCTGCCTCTCCGTCTCTACTAAAAATATTAAAATTAGCCAGGTGTGGTAACAGGCACCTATAATCCCAGCTACTGGAGAGGCTGAGGCAGGAGAATTGCTTGAACCTGGGAGGTGGAGGTTGCAGTAAGCCGAGATGACGCCACTGAACTCCAGCCTGGGCAACAGAGTGAGACTTCGTCTCAAAAAATACATGTATTACATGAGAAACGCTGTCAAATCTTACCTCTAAGCTTTCTGTTGGCTAAGGCAGAGAGGCAGTTATGGCCAATGATGCAGTCCTCACTGTCCAGTGGAAGAAGGGAAATTAGTTGATCATGGGAGGCAAAGGCTTTCCTGGGTTTCTTCCAGAAGGATTTGTCACAAGGGCCCAGTGACCTAAAGCACAGTATGTCCCAGAGGTCATTCAAATGTCCTAATAGCCAAACCTGCCACAGTGCCTGACCGATGGTAGATTAAAACCTACCCATGAAGTGAATAGAGCAACAGAGGCCCACTGCCCCTCTCTCTGTGGATGAGGCAGTAATGGTCTGGCATGTTCCACCTGTCTGTTATTCAGCGTGACCACAGGTGGCAGCAGGTCCTTGTGGTAGCTCTCTGGAAGAAGTCCCATTCTGAAAAAGCATTATGCCGAATGTGAGGAGACTGAGCTGTCCTATTAAAAGAAACTGTCAGATTTTTAAAATCAGATATGCTATCATACAAGGCACATTTAAAAACTATTTTTAAAGGATAAGCAAGAGGATGAGAAAGATACTAAAATCACAAAAGGCAAGCAAGAGTGGCAATACTAATATCAAGGGGAAAGTTAAGGCTGAGAGGAATTAATAGTATAAAAGGAGAGGGCCGGGCGCGGTGGCTCAAGCCTGTAATCCCAGCACTTTGGGAGGCCGAGGCGGGTGGATCACAAGATCGAGACCATCCTGGTCAACATGGTGAAACCCCGTCTCTACTAAAAATACAAAAAATTAGCTGGGCATGGTGGCGTGTGCCTGTAATCCCAGCTACTCAGGAGGCTGAGGCAGGAGAATTGCCTGAACCCAGGAGGCGGAGGTTGCGGTGAGCCGAGATCGCGCCATTGTACTCCAGCCTGAGTAACAAGAGTGAAACTCCGCCTCAAAAAAAAAAAAAAAAAAAAAAAAAAAAAAAAAAAAAGGAGAGTACGAATTCATGATAAAGGCGTAATTTAATAAAGCAGTTATAGCATTCGTCAACTTAAATGCACCAAGCAACATGGCAATGCTAGATACCTTGATCAAATACAAGTATGGTGGGTGGTTTGAATATGACTCTTTTGAAATAAAACAAATGGGGCTGGGCAAGGTGGCTCATGCTTGTAACCCCAGCACTTCAGGAGTTTGAGACCAGCATGGCCAACATGGTGAAACCCCATCTCTGCTAAAAATACAAAAATTAGCCAGGCATGGTTGCACATTCCTAATATTTCAGCTACTTGTGCACAAGAATCAAGAATTTCTTGAACCCAGTAGGCAGAGGTTGCAATGAGCTGAGGTGGTTATACCACACTCCAGCCTGGGGCAACAGAGCAAGACTCTGTCTCAAAAAAGAAATAATAAAAAGGCAAATGTGTCTAGTGAACAAAAAATTAATTTAAAAGTACATAGAAAAGTTAAATAGTACAAATAGCAAACAATCTAATAAAAATATATCTACTGAATCAGATTTTCACATGTTCAGAAAATATTTATTAAAATGTTTATGCAGTGACTACAAGACAAGCAGTAACAAAGAAGTTTGGTATTTCCAAACTGTAATGCTGGAAAGAACACATGTATTAGTATCAGACAGCCCTGAGTTCAAATCCCAGCTTTGTCTTTGAGCAAGTTACTTACATTTTCTGAGTCCCTGTTTTCTAATCTTTAAATAATTATCCTTACTTCTTGAGGTTATTTTGAGGACAAGTAACATTATGGTTGTGAAATTTTTTTATAAGCTCCATAGCAAGGTTCCCACATGAGTAATTATTTAAAAAGCAATTTCTACTCTATCTTGCTTCTGTGTCACTAGCTGCTGAATAAAGTAACACATTCCACTGTGAGCTTTAGCAGGAAAAGAAGGCTGGCCAGTGGCAAATGCCCATAATCTCAATTCCTATTAGCAATTTCAGTATAATTTTTGGAAAAGAAAACACATGGGCTCAAATATTTATAGTCCCATGTACTTGTTGTACGATCTCAGGCAAGTTGCTTAATCTCTCTGGGGCTCATTGTGTAAAATGATGATCATGCCCACCTCCTGGAGTTGCAGCAAAGGTTAGAGAATGTATCTGTAGAGCCACAGGCACATAAGAAGTGTTAAACAGCCTCGGCGCTGTGGCTTATGCCTGTAATCCCAGCACTTTGGGAGGCTGAGGTGGGCAGATCACTTGAGGTCAGGCGTTCGAGACAAGCCTGGCCAACATGGTGAAACCCCATCTCTACTAAAAATACAAAAAGTAACCGGGTATCGTAGCAGATGCCTGTAATCCCGACTACTCAGGAGGCTGAGGCAGGAGAATCACTTGAACCCAGGAGACGGAGGTTGCAGTGAGCCCAGATCACACCACTGCGCTCCAGCCTGGGCGAGAGTGAGACTCTGGCTCAGTAAGTCCTAAACAAATGGAACAGCTAAATCATTTGTTGCTTTAAAAATCCCTGGTGCCTCCACTGAGTGGCGTAGGGGAGTCAGCCAGGAATATGCCTGATGGTGTTGCCTCTGTGGTGCCCTCTGGCCACTTACTTCTCCTGCTGGTCCACACATAAAGGCAGTAACTCAAGACCCCTGGCACCTGTGAGGCCTTGGACATCCCATCCCCTTTGCACTTGGAAGACCAGACGTAGACCCCACTTTCCCAGCTCTAGTCCTGTCAGATGTTCCCGCTCCTCCACCTGGAGGATGCCTCATCTCTGTCCTAGAGTCTCCACCTTGTCTCAGAGCCTGGAAGAGCAGGGAAGCTGGCTTCGCTGCTGGGGAGTGAGTTTCCAAACAGCCGGCCGAGCTGAAGGTGGTGCCCTGGGGTTTTGCAAGCCCGTAATGCAGGGCAGCGGGCACTAGGGGGCAGCGTTCCTCTTTCACAGACAGGCCAGGCGGGCAAAGGCAAGGCCATGGTCAGTTGCCTTGCTTTACACTAGAGCTTCCCTGACCAGAACAGGTGCACCGGGGGTGCTAGTCTGGGACAAAGAAAATGTATCAAAAAATAGTTCTTGAGTGGACATGGTGGCTCACATCTGTAATCCCAGTGCTTTGGGAGGCTTACATGGGCAGATAGCTGGAAACCAGGAGTTTGAGACCACCCAGGGCAACAAAGGGAGACTCCATCTCTATCAAAAAATACAAAAATTAGCCAAGTGTGGTGGCACGTGCCTGTCGTCCCACCCACTCAGAAGGCTGAGGTGGGAGAATTGCCCAGGAAGCGGAGGTTGTGGTGAGCTGAGATCATGCCACTGCGCTCCAGTCTGGGCGACAGAGCCAGACTCTGTCTCTTAAAATTAAAAATTTATTATCTGTGTGGCTGGGCACAGTATAATCCCAGAACTTTGGGAGGCCAAGGCAGGCGGATCACCTGAGGTCATGAGTTCGAGACCAGCTTGGCCAACATGGTGAAACCCCATCTCTACTAAAAATACAAAAATTAACCGGGTATGGTGGCAGGTGCCTGTAATCCCAGCTACTCAGGAAGATAAGGTAGGAGAATCACTTGAAACTGGGAGGTGGAGGTTACAGTGAGTCAAGATCCCACCATTAAACTCCAGCCTGGATGACAGAGTGAGACTCTTGTCTCAAAGAAAAAAGAAATTATTTGTGAATACTCTTAAAGGGAAGAATTATCTTGTGAAGTGGGACCAGGCCCAGGAAGAGGGTGAGGGAGCGAGGCGCTACAGAAAAACATGCCGTCAGGATAAATCAGATTTTAATGGAATATTTTTAGAAATTCCAATTAATGCAAAAAATTCGCATTGAACAAAATAGCGAAAATATAAACAGAAACAGGTTCCAGTCCTCTGCCTGGGTGCTTACCTGCCTCGTGGCTTGACCCCAGCCCTCTGCCTCCAGCTCTGCTACAGGAAGAAGATCCCGCTTCCCTCAGGGCGTCGGTTTTCCTGTTTCAGATGAAGCGCGTTGGACTCGGTGCTCCGGGGTCTTCCTGCTCTCGTGCTCTGTAGGCTGTAACCCGCTCCTCACTGATGGCCTTCTGCAAGGCTCGTGTCGAAAACGCTTTCCCCTGTAGCAGATCCACTGGGCTGAGCAGACCATCTCCTTTGTCTGCTGAACTCTCCCCGTTGAAATGTCATCCCTGTACCCAGTTTCAGCAGCACTGGCCAGGAGCCCTGACCCTGTTTCAACCCAGTTGCTGGGTTACAGAGCATGAATAAGACATTTTCTTCAACAGGCTCTGTCCACCGCAGACAGCCAAGGCACAGCCACAACAGAGCGTGGGCTCATAATGCAAACCCAGGTGCCAGCGAGGGGCAGCAGGTGGGCAGGGGCAGGACTGACCGACCCCTGTGGGGCTCGATGCCTGCTTTACAGGGTAGAGAACCCCCGATAGAGGTTTGCAGGACGTGTCGATGATGTTTCCAGGGGGACGTGAAGTGTTCCAGACACTAATGGTCGTAGTGTGGTAACATGGCAGTTTGTGGATGAATGCCATGGGTCCCTGAGACAGGGCAGGAGCTCTCAGGCCCATCCGCCCCTCAGAAAGTCACCCTTAGGGAGTCACTGTCAGAGACACGGCCACCCTGTGTGGATGCTTACAACATGCCAGGGGCCTTACAGCCACAGGGCACTTTTCATCTTTGAAACAGTCATACATAGAGCTGCTGTGAGTACCACAGTTTCCAGGGAGTAAAGGACCCCTCTTGTTCAGGGCATCTGGGGTGGATGGACTTGGACTTGCACACGCAGGCGCGTGCGTCCATGTGGCTCTGAGAAGACCCTCATACTTCCACGAGATCGTGCCCAGTGCCCGAGACGGTTGCTGGTCTTCCCCGTCGGCTGTCTTGCAGGGAACAGAGGGCCCCGGATGGAGCCTGGGTTTCCCTGAGCACCTGGGACAGCAGGTGCTAGGAGCTGTGCTCAGGAGCCCACCGTGCGGAGGGGACACGTCACCAACAGGGAACTGCAGGGCCCCGTGTGTCACGCAGCGTGCGCAAAGAAATGGTGCTGAGCCCCTGCTGTGGTCCGTGCCAGCTGCACAGAGGGAAACCCAGCGCCTGGGAGCAGCTTTCAAACAGGGTCCGAGCCATCCACACAGGAAGGGTCCGTGGAGGCCGCCCAGGCGTTGGGCGCCCTGCGAGCTAGCAAGCTGGCCAGTCCCGCAGGCACAGCATCCTAGGCTCTCCCCTTCCCAACCCACTGTCCCCGTCCTGTGACCTGCGCCCCACTGCTGTGCTGAGGACACCCTACTCCCCAGGCAGTGCAAGGACCGCAGCCTCACGAGGCGGCATCTCCTGGCCCCGCCCACCGTCACACCCTCCTGTCGCCTGCCTCTTGCCGCCCAACCTCTCTTTCTCTTCCAGAATGCCAATCTGGCCCCCTGTGGAGCAGACCCGGATGCCAGCTGGGGCATGCGAGGTACACGGAGTGGGGACCCTGTGGGTCTCTGGCTGGGGCAGGGGTTGCTGACATATTCCACAAGTATCGTTCTGAAACCACCCGTCCAAGGCTCCGGGAGTGTCGGGCCGGGACACCTCAGGGGAGGGCAAGTTCGTTTCTCTGCCTCTACCGGCAGAGAGTCAGTCCCGCTCTGAGCTAGCTTTACCCACGATGCTCCCTTTCTCCCATCTGTGGGCACGGCGGCCCTGTCCTGTATTGTGTGGCACTCTGTCACTTGGGGAAGCAGAATCTCAGGTGCAAGACTTCCAGGGTCTGAGCGGACAGCGCTGGGCCAAACCCTGCCTGCGCCTTGCTCACCATGTGGCTGCTGGCATGCAGCGTGACTCTCCAGACTCAGCAGGGCTGCTAGGTTTGTGTTACCAGAGCGGCCACCTGGTCCTGTGGCAGGTGCCTGGCAGGGGCACTGCTTACCTCCTTGTCAACCTCTGCCCCCGAGAGTGGCGGGGGAGCCTTGCTCTGCTAGACTGGGTTGCATGTGGGTGGAGGGCGTCAGCGCCCACAGCCTGCTCCCTCTAGGTGGCCTTTGGTCCCTGGGCCTCAGAGCTGGCGGGTCCAGAACCCCACGTGGCATGTGGGCAAACTCAGGGACCCGCCCTTGACTCGGGGTCCCCCTTCTGAAACTGGCTTGAGGACCAGGGTCTGTAGATACTGCCTTCCGTGGGTTCAGTGTGCATGGAGGCCTGCGATCCCTACTTCACTTTTGTGATAAGACACTTTCAGTCTGGAAGTGAGGCATTAGGGCTCAGCGCTCAGTCGTTTGAAAAGGAGAAAATACAGAGTTAAGAAGGTAAGACAGCGAGAGACGGGGAGGCTCAGACCACAGACATGACAGTCTCCACAACAGCCCTTCAGAGTTTCCCCTGAAATGCCCACTGCACAGGCAGGTAAACTGAGGCTGGCATCTTTCTCACAGTGGTCCAGACCACCAGAGAGTCAGCATCACAGCTGAAAAGCATAGTGCTGCCATCCGGCTTCCAGTCTGGTCTCCAGCCTGACCATGCCCCTGCTCTGGTTTCCCAGGAGAGGCCCTCAGAGCCCCTCTGCCTGCAGCTCTGAGATCAGAGCCCCAGTCAGGCTGCTCGGGGACTGTGCATGGCCCGGCTGACTGCAGGGGTGGAGATGTGGGTGCCCCGGGGGGGGGGGATTCACCAGCCTTGGATGACATCTTGCCCTTTCTAAACCATCTTGTGGTCTCCGTTCTCTCTCTTACAGAATACAAGGTAAGCGGGGCCTCTCCCACGCTGACCTCCGTGCTGCGCCACACCTGCCCAGGTTAAAAGCCCTTTCTTGTGCTTTCCCTATGAAATGTGTGTGTCAGGGGCAGACGCAAGTATGTATTCTCGGTGGCCTTCTGCTCAGTTCTTTGGTGCCAGCACACACTGGCTCTGCGAGGTGACCTCGTGTTTCCTCCCCCACAGGTCTATCCTTATGACACCCTCATCGTCACAAACCGAATTCGGGTGAAACTGCCCAAAGACGTGGACCGGACGAGACTGGAGGTGAGTGGGGGACTGCCGGGGCAGGAGATTCATTTCTCACGAGACGGTCTCTGCAGATGCTTCCTCCGTGGTGTCAAGGCGGTTGCCGGAGGGGTCACCGTGGGGGATGGTGCAGAGCCTGGCCGTGATGCCGTCAGGGACCTGTACTGCCTCAGAGAACCAACGGTGTGGTGACGTTCCCCATCCTTGATGGCTTTGCAAACCCTGGTTTGTGGATGAGGCAGGGAAGGCTGTGTTAAGAGTAACGAGCTCTGGGCTGGGTGCAGTGGCTCACGCCTGTTATCCCAGCACTTTGGGAGGCTGAGGTGGGCAGATCACTGGAGGTCAGGAGTTCGAGACCAACCTGGCCAACATGGTGAAACCCCGTCTCTACTGAAAATACAAAGCTTAGCCGAGCATGGTGGCAGGTGCCTGTAATCCCAGCTACTTGGGGTGCTGAGTGGGGAGACTAGCTTGAACACAGCAGATGGAGCAGATGGAGTTTGCAGTGAGCTGAGATGGCACCATCGCACTCCAGCCTGGGAAACAGAGAGAGACTCCATCTCAAAAAAAAAAAAAAAAAAAGAGAGAGAGAAGAAGGGAGGTGCCTGTTCTCTCCACTAAGGTTGAGTGGACAGCCCCATCTTTCCACTTGACCACGTTTACACCCATCTAAAACAACCCGGCCATATGCAGAAAGCAAGGATGTTTCAAAGCCCTGGCAAGACGTCAGCACAGAGTCCTGTCGGCTGAGAGAACTGACTTTGTTGAGTAGCTACTATGTGCCCAAGGTGGCATGTGCAATCCCCTAAAGCTGCCCTAGCGTGTCGCAGCATCCAGCCAGGGCGTTTCATCTCCTGAGCCCTGTCCCGGATGTGCTGGTGACTCTCTTGCTAGAGTGAAGGGTCTTGAGGCTCCTTAAGGAAAGGGGATACCCAGCCCATCTGAGCCCCAAGGCTGGAGAGTGGGTATGACCCCGTGTGCACAGGGCCAGCTGCCAGCCGGTGCCCAAAGTGCCCACCAGGCAGTGGCTCAGTCTGCTGCTGGGGAGGGAGCTGGAGGGGCATGGATGCAGCTGAGGGCACCCAGAGCTGGGGCCGGAGGCAGGGAGTAGGCACCAGGCTGCTCCTCAGAAGGGGAAGTCTGGAAAGGCCTTCCAGCTCCAGGGAGGCCCATGATCAAAGGCTGGTGGTGGAGAGGGGTGCTCCAGGCTGTCTCCAGATAGGAAGTGCGTCCTTCCTAGGAGCACTGGGCAGCCAACGGCCCTACCCAGCGGCCAGGTGCTCTTGAGCTGTGATTCCTGCACCTCTAAGATGAGGATATTGATTCTGCTTGACCAGTATCTGCTCTGCAGACGAGAAGTTGCAGGAATCCCCTCACCCAGGGCCTGGAAAATAGCACTCCCTCAGTCCAGCGAGGGCAGAGATCAGGTCACTGGTGTGACTGCAGCGCTAGGGACAGGGCGCATCCATTTTGAACCTGTTTGTTGCAGATAATAGGAACTTGACCCAAAGTGACTTCAGCAGAGAAGGAATTTACTATGTCCGTGCCTAGAGTCGAACTCTCTAAACTACATCGGGAGGTTTCATCTGAGCCAAACGTGACTGACCATGCAAGGTACAGTCTCGAGAGCTCCTGAGGACGTGCCCAAGGTGGTTGGGTTACGGCTTGGTTTATGTTTCAGGGAGACAGAAGACATCAATCAATACACGTAAGGTACACATTGGTTCGGTCTGGAAAGGTGGGACAGCTTGAGGTTGGGGCTTCCAGGTCATAGGTGGATTCAGAGATTTTCTGATTGGCACCTGGTTGAAAGAGTTATCATCACAAGACTTGGAATCAATAGAAAGGAGCATCCGGGTTAAGCTAAGGCACGGTGGAGACCACGGTTCTTATTACATAGAGAAGCCTCACAGCAGGCCCTCTGTAGAGGCAGTGATTCCAAATGTTTCCTGTTCAGCAAGACCGGAAAGGGAAGGGGATTCTCTGCAGAATGTAAATTTCCCCACAAGAAACAGCTTTGCAGAGCCATTGTTTCTCTTTCTTTGAGACTGTCTCACTCTGTCACCCAGGCTGGAGTGCAGTGGCATGATCTCTGCTCACTGCGCCCTCCGCCTCCCAGGCCCAAGTGATTCTTCTGCCTCAGCCTCCCAAGTAGCTGGGGTTATAGGCACCTACCGCCACACCCAACCAATTTTGGTATTTTTAGTAGAGACAGGTTTTCACCATGTTGGCCAGGCTGGTCTCAAACTCCTGACCTCAAATAATCTGCCCGCCTCTGCCTCCCAAAATGCTGGGATTACAGGCATGAGTCACCACACCCGGCCTGCAGAGCCATTTTAACATACGCCAAAGAAATATATTCTGGGGTAAAAAAATTTTTTTTTTCCAGGACCTGCTCTCTGTCCTGTGATGCTATACTACAGTCAGACTGGAATTTGGTATCTTGTTGCTAGTCTTAAGAACTCTGTTTTAATGTTAATATCATCCGTTGTGCCTGACTTCCAAAGGCAGGATGGTAGAATGAGGCGCATCTGACTCACCCCCTCTTCCCTTCATGGCCTGAACGAGGTTTTAGGTTTCTTTGAAATCCCCATGGCAGAGAGTGGGGGTTCATTCCTCCTCAATCATCAGCTAGTTGAGGGGCTTAGAATTAGTTTTTCACTTACAGCTGGCTCTCATGACTGAATGGCTCCTTCAGGTGTGGCTTGATCAAGGGCTAAATGATGTCTTCAGCACCCAGTTGCTTTCCTTCTATCTTTTGGCTGTGCTTTTTCTGTGCTGGCTCTATCGATAGACTTTTACCTCACCTTGCTCAGGCTCTAAATCTGCAGGGAAGAGACCCACATCTTTCTGTCTCTCAGCAGTCCCAAAAAAAGCCCCATCTCTGTCCCTGAGTGGGTAATATGACCACCCTTTCATCAGCCAGTTTGACCCTAGGAAGGCAATGCCCCAGTTGGCCAGGCTCAGCCATAGTGCCTGGAGCTAACAGGGCTGCTGCCCTCACCTGAGCTGGGTGGCGTATTTAACACTCCATCTTGGATAATGTGCTAGTCGAGGGAGAGAGGAAAGAGGGAAGTGAATCGAGAATGAGGGTGAAGGGTTAAGAGGAAAGGGGTCTTCCCTGGTGCTCTTTAGTCATTTGCAACATTTTACAAAACAACGTAGATAAAGGCTAATCTATAATCAGGGAAACAAAGGTGACAGCTGCCTAGGTGACAGCTGCCTGTCACATGACTCAGGTCCCAGAATCATATTTTCTTAAGGCTCAAAATATGTTAAACTTCCAACAGCTTAGATTTTGAATAGCATCTTGTTTTCTCATTCCTAAAGATGGGGAGAGAGTGCTGGGTCACAGGCAGCGAGTGTCTGCCTACGGGAGGGTGGGAGACGAGGCTGAGGAGGAGGGAGAAGCCGCATGTCAAGCCCTCGAGCACTGTGGCCAGTCAGCGCGGTCAGTCCTCCAGGGCGTGCTGAGCACCCAGGGGTGTGGGCTTCGTGCTAGCAAGGGAACCGCAGAGCCAGATAGCACAGGGCTCTTTGCTCAGGAAGCTGGCAGCTTGTGGGACGTTTGATCGTCACTCCACAGAAGAGGAAAGGCCACCAAAGCGTTCTGATGTGTTAGGATGTGCATGGGTCATCAGTAGGAGGACCCCGGGCAGCAGGAGCCAGCGAGGAAGCTGGCATGTGGGTCCGGGCAGTGCCGGGCGGGCGGAGGGGACCACCAGCATCAGTGCTGAGTGAGTGTGCAGGTGAGGCGGGAATCCATTTCGGCCCACTGCACACTCAGGAGGTGCTCCTGCCGTCTCATCAAGGCCTCTCTGGGGTGGCCTCTGCCTACCATCCCATGTGACCATCCCCCAGTGGCCAGAGAAGGCACCCCAGAAGGAACCCCAGCACTGCTAGCAGCCTGCAGGGATGCATTTTTCAGCTCCTGTGGAACTTGGTTCCTTGTGAGTTATGTGGTCAGGTCCGGTCCCAAGCAAAAATGCTACTGACTGTTGTAAGATGGGTGTCTCCAGTGGGGGGGTGGCTCCCCCTGTCAGGAACTGCCTGGCGGGTTCCTGCTGGTCCTGTGTCTTTGTTCCTCAAAGGGTGTGTCCCCTCTGGGCTGCTTAATGGTGCTGGAGTTCATTGCTCTCACCAGGAGAGGTGAGCTCAGCCAGCATGCCTGCAGCTCCTGGCCCAGCAGCAGTGCGGGACCAGGGCCCTGCTGGGACTCCATGCAGCCCTCTTGGGACTGTGGTATGCATGACGGGACTTCTATTTAACTTTCTTTGGCAATAATACAACATGAAAATTGTAAAGTACAAGTGGTTCATTTTTGTAAAAGTATCCTTTTAAAATGCCCTCTGACACCTGGGTAATGATTTTAGTCATTCGAATTTCCAAGAACACAGCCAAGGGCGCGACACTGGTCCTCCTTCGTCTTCAGGCTCAGCCAGGCCAGGAGGCAGCTGGAAATGTTACACATCTGGGGAATGTCCCTCATTCTTCAGCAGCAGCTCACCGCCTGCCTCGGGCTGGGGGTGAGATGTGAGCCAGAGGGGGCTCAGGAGGGGCTGCCTCCCAGCAGGAGAGAAAGAGACCCCTGGTGTTTTTATTTCAGAGAAAAGAGCTTTATTTTTAATATAAAAACAATTCTTAAATGTGATAGAAGTCCAGAAAAATACAAAGGAGGACGTAAACATCTTACGGAATTCCCCCACCCAGTCACAACCGATAACTCCGTGGGGGATGTGCTTCTGGAATCCCTTTTGCACATAATCTCGGAGCTAACTGAATCCTGTTTTGGATAAAGAGGGCTCATACTCTATATCCAGTTTTGACATTACTGCTTTTTGCTTTCCAATTTGACATGGCTATTTCTAGGCCAGTCACCTCTGATCTGCCCCACCTTTATTTATTGTTTTGAGACGTGGTCTTGCTCTGTCTCCCAGGCTGGAGTGCAGTGGCGCAATCTCAGCTCCCTGCCACCTCTGCCTCCTGGGTTCAAGCGATTCTCCTGCCTCAGCCTCCCG